CAATTCACAGAATTGTTATATGGGATGACAGTTTTGCTTTCATTATATTCAGGAAGAAACACAGAATTAGATTTAATCCATAAATTTATGTAAAACTGACAGGTTTGCAGCATTCAGTAACAAAAAAATGATGGCAAAGCAAGTCTGATTAGATATTTGAGAAAGTTTTACAGCATCTACAAATCAATGTTACAATAATACAGCATATTTAGTGTTTGGTATTTAATCTTATTTTACTCTAGGAAATATATTTTCTATTTTGACAACTGTGTAGCAGTAGGTGCAGCTGTACTCAGAAAGCTTATGTAAATTTTTGAATAGATCTTAATGAGTCTTGAAACATTCAAATTATTTCTTACAATGTATTCAACTGATAAAAATAACTACAGAATTAATTTTCTTATATAATTGATATCGTGTCTATAGTTTTGTGAAAGAAATCTTTTAAACAATTCGAAATTTTTTACACTTTTTTAAATAGAATAAATGTAGAATTAAGAATATTTTGGGTTTTCCCAGCTAATCCCAGGGTACAAACAAACTTTTTACAGTTACAGCTTTGAAAATTAGAGCAACTGGTTGTCTTTTGCAACCGGTAGTGCACCATGAAGCTATAATGGCAAAAGTTTGTACAGGGAGATAAGCTTGGAAAAACCCACATTTGACGAGTTCTGGATAAAATCTTTTGGCCAGAAAGAATTGGTAGTAGCAATTGGAAATATGCTTAAGCTTTTATATTGAATAAATTATGTATACAATTGATGTAAATTTCAGTTGGCAACAATAATGATCGCCTCTTATGCCACTTGTATAGTCAGTTTCAAATCTGGACAAGACCTTTACATATGTTTCGCAGGGTATATAAAACTGTAAAGTTCATTACATAACAACTCTGTTAGATTATGTATTCCAAAATATATTAATCATTACATCATATTTAGTGTAATTATTTGTAATTGCGGATAATTATCTCTAATAATCATTAGCATTATTTGATAAGGTACATTTCAACATGTTTAAAGCCTTTTTGTACTAAAATTCCTATGCCATGCAAGATAGCACAAGTTCTTTTATTCTTGTACTTTATATTGGCATTTATATTTTTGACAGGTTTTTCTAAAGTTTGTATGTACTGTTTTGTTCTCATGTTGTGTCACATGGTACATGCTTTATACTATTTTTCCTCCTCTAAAATAACAATTTATTGCAAGAAATTGAACATATCAAATTAGTTAAAGGTCAAGGTCACAATAAAAAAACAATGGTTTTGTTAAAAATTTCTATCTTAATGAAAAGATTGCAAAGGTCATTCTAAAATGATAGAGGTCAAGGTCACATGTTTGAAGATTTAGAATGTTAAATTCTAAATGGATATCAGTGCAACATAATTGTGAATAATCTTTAATGATAGAAACTGTTTAAGTTAAATCAAAAATGAATTTTACAAAGTGAATAGAAAGTCAAATTTATATTTGAATGATTCTCATTGTTACAAACTGAAGTAGAGTTCAGGTCAAGGTCACTCATTTAATTATTATGATTGTTACAAACTGAATAGAGGTCAAGCATCTTCACATTGAAACTTATAATGGGAGAATAATTGATGTGTTCACACAATGTATCACTTTCAGTTATTTGTATTGATACCAAATTGTGACACAATAATAACTTTATGCTTTTAATTGTCACTATTGTTTTGCACAAAAAATCTAAGGTTTAATTTGCTGAAATCTTAAATCTCACTTAACTCACAGAATACATTAATTAACCTCTGAGGAAATCACTTTCCTATTGCAATCCCAGAATGCAATTTGGCTAAAACAACCAACAAATCAGTTTTTAGTTTTTTTACAGGTTTATTTCTTCTAGATTTTACCAGGAAACTATTTTAGTCTCCTAAATTCTTTAAGACTACAGACTATTGAGACCATTTACAACAGCTATGTTCCTGCTGTACATTACCAAAATAGTAAGATGTATTATATAGCTGTTATACCGAGGTCTTAGACACCTCCCCTGAGAGACTCTGTTGCCAGCATCTTTCTCATAAATAACAGTTTATTAGCTTACAGTATATTCAATGAGGGAAAATACATAGTAAAATGTTTGGGGGAAATATTATGATACATAATTTAGGGTTCCCACTATATTGAGTTTATTGTATAACTGATGGTACATGTTGAATATGAAAGAATGCTTGTCAATTCGATAAAAGTATGCGGGAATACAGTCAAATCATGGTTTGATGAATTGGTGGATTGCAGCAGATACATGATTTGGTATGTTGCAGCCAATACATGAACTGAATGATTGCAGTCAATATATTAATTGATGGATTGCAGCCACTACATGATTTGGTGTATTGCAGCCGATACATAAACTGATGGTGTGCAGGCAATACACAATTTGGTGTATTGCAGTCGATACATAAACTGTTGGATTGCAGCCAATGCATAATTTGGTGTATTGCAGTCAATGCATGAACTGGTTTATGGCAGTCAATATATAAATTGATGGATTGCACTCAATACATGATTTGGTGTATTGCAGCCAATTCATGAACTGATGGATTGCAGTCAATATATTAATTGATGAATTGCAGCCAATACATGATTTGGTGTGTTGCAGCCAATACATGAACTGATGGATTGCAGTCAATATATTAATTCACGGTTTGCAGCAAATACATGATTTGGTGTATAATGCAGCCCATACATGAACTGATGGATTGCAGTCAATATATTAGTTGATGAATTGTAGCCACTACATGATATGGTGTATTGCAGCTGATACATGAACTGATGGATTGCAGTCAATATATTAGTTGATGAATTGCAGCCAATACATGATTTGGTGTATTGCAGCCGAAACATGAACTGATGGATTACAGTCAATAAATTAATTCATGTTTTGCAGCCAATACATGATTTGATGTATTGCAGCCAGTTCATGAACTGATGGATTGCAGTCAATAAATTAATTCATGGTTTGCAGCCAATACATGATTTGGTGTATTGCAGCCAATACATGAACTGATGGATTGCAGTCAATATATTAATTGATGAATTGCAGCCAATACATGATTTGGTGTATTGCAACCAATACATGAACTGATGGATTGTAGTCAATATATTAATTGATGAATTGCAGCCAATACATGATTTGGTGTATTGCAGCGAATACATGAACTGATGGATTGCAGTCAATATATTAATTGATGAATTGCAGCCAATACATGAACTGATGGATTGCAGTCAATATATTAATTGATGAATTGCAGCCAATACATGATTTGGTGTATTGCAGCCAATACATGAACTGATGGATTGCAGTCAATATATTAATTGATGAATTGCAGCCAATACATGAACTGATGGATGGTAGTCAATATATTAATTGATGTTTTTCAGCAGATGTTTGAACTGATGGATTGCAGTCAGTATATTAATTGATGAATTGCAGCCAATACATGAACTGATGGATTGCAGTTAATATATTAATTGATGAATTGCAGCCAATACATGAACTGATGGATTGCAGTTAATATATTAATTGATGAATTGCAGCCAATACATGAACTGATGGATGGCAGTCAATATATTAATTGATGAATTGCAGCCAATACATGAACTGATGGATTGCAGTCAATATATTAATTGATGAATTGCAGCCAATACATGAACTGATGGATTGCAGTCAATATATTAATTGATGAATTGCAGCCAATACATGAACTGATGGATTGCAGTCAATATATTAATTGATGAATTGCAGCCAATACATGAACTGATGGATGGCAGTCAATATATTAATTGATGTTTTTCAGCCGATGTTTGAACTGATGGATTGCAGTCAGTTTATTAATTGCTGAATTGCACTTAATACAATGATTTGGTGGATTGCAGTCAAAACATGATGTTATGGATTGCAGTCAATACAGATATTTGATATTTGGGATATCTAATGTTTGAGAATATTCACAAGAGACCGCAACTTGAACCAATATTTCAGGAATATTCATAAAGCACTTCAACAACAAAATAATCATGCAAAAAAGTATAAAGACTATTTATAAGGGACTACAACCAATGTTAGGCAAAAAAATTAATAAATGAAAACTAAGGGACGAAAGCCAATATTTGTATATCACAATTCTGGAACATAACAGCCAATGCATCATATGCAAACTTATGAGGATTACAAGAAATTTTCAGGAACAATACTTGATGATTCTTGGAAGTACAAAGTATGGCAAAATAAGAAAATATGAGAGATTTACGGTAGTACACTTGTATGTGAAGGATATATGACAACCATTTGTTGCAGTCTGTTTGAAATGACATGTTGAACAGTCAGTCATACAGGCATAATTGGGCAAATTAATAACTACATGTACATTCTGTTCTTTCTTCAAAGAAATATATATGTTGTTATTTTCTCGGTTTATTAGATGAGCTAATTGGCATGTATGTTACCATTATTAAGTCATTTGTAGATAATTTGTTATATATCATTATACCAGTAAATATGCTACGAGTAGTCAAAGCTTCGCTGTAATTTGAACTAAATAGGTATACATGAGTTAGGAATAGATTGAATTGGAATCAGACCATTCTTTTATGTCACGTTCTCAGTGGGAATTCTTAGCAATAATAATGATTTCCAGTTGTATGATGATAATGATGATGTGTACCTGAGAGAGATGTCAGTTTTACAACTGGTGAATATAGTGCTTATATCTACTAATTACATTGTATTATGACAAATCAGCACATGGGATTTTGATTATCTCTTCAGCCCTGTGGAGTTTGGAATTCTTGATTTTATTGTATAAGGGGGACTACTCTTACATTTTCCTGGAAGTTCTTAATGCAGGAGTTGTCTAACATTTTCATTTTGTTACACAAGAGATATGGTAAAATTTCCAATGTAATGAATATAATCATTCATTAACAAGGATAATTATGTCACAGTAGTGTGTAGATAACATTTTATTTCAGAGAAAAAAGAAGATCTTACAGGTAACAAAAAAATATATATCCAAGAAAATTCATAAGTAATGTATTGTTGCCATTTACGGAGATTGCCCGAATAAATTCTGATCTGCTAACATAATTTTTGATTAATTATGATCTTTATGCAACAAAGGAAGATGATCTAATCATATATATGCTTTGTGTTTGATAATATAATGAATAACATATATCACTTTCTCTTCCAAAATTCAATCCATGTTTAATAATACTGAAATTTGTAACTTAAAATATGCTACCATAGAACAGATTGTGCCCAACTGCCAATAATATCTATTAAAAAGACTAATACCCTAATGTTTCTTTATACATGTTTATAAGATATGTATTTGACTGTTTAAGTATAAAAGTAAACTTTAATTTCCTACTCTGTATTAAGATGATAAAAATATGACACAGCATTGGATCTTTGATTCAGGATATTTGATGTATTCATGCAAATACATTGTTTTGAATTGTAAGACTGACAGCTTCTTAAAGATCTTTCATTTTCGGAACCTTTAGCAGTCACAAGTGGAAGCAATTTAATTTCAGTGGGATGTTAATTAAAGTGGATTTTTTAGTAATGTTATGTAATTCAAGCTGGAATTATTTGGTATATCTATGTAATTAAAGTATAGGAAATATTATATAAATTATGTATGTATTAACGATTTGATAAATTAAAGATCATGGTGTGATTTGAAATATGTTATTGAATTAATATTAATATGATTTTGATTCTGAAATTAAAGCATTTATTGGAAATTCAGTTATTTTTGTGCAGCAATGTATTATATACTAGCAAGATTACTTTTTATCAGATAATTGGATCTTTTTGGTTTTCAACAATATAAATGACAGGCATTTAATTCCCCTAAAGTGAAGTCTGAGCTAGTCCTGTCTTTTTCTGTACTGTCTGACCAGACTCTGTACAATTATTTCAGTATTTTGATAATTAAAATCTCTTCAGCTAGCAATGGATAACCATAAATTCAAAGCAATACAATTTGTTTTAGTCTTTGATGCAATTATTCAACAGTGAAAAGATAAAGGATCGATGTCCAACTTATTAAATTTGATATTGGCTGTAGAGAATGCCAGAATTGAGCTTGGTACAATTCATATTGTGCTGAAGTTACATATTGCCATGACAGGTCTAATACTTCCAGACCAATGGTCCTTAAACTATTAAAAATCTTCCATTGTTAGAAGCTTTTTTCTAACTCTAGGTAAATGCCAGTGTGTTCTGGAAATTCCTCTATAAAACAATCAGCCAAGATTTTAGGAGCTTAAGTAACAATACACCAGACATGTAATCTTATTAAAGCAGTTTTTTCTCTCATAAACGTCACATTTATTTTGATGCATCAGATGCCACTTTATCTCCTTTTTTTCCTATAGTGTCATAGAAAAATGATAGAATTCAAACATTACATGGTTTTTCGCCTTCTAAAGATTGTATAGAGATATTATAGATTTGTTATTGATAATAAAAATGAATGATGATTTTTTTTTTATATCAGCACAATAAAATGGCACTTAAAACAGCTTACGTTTTGCATGTTGAAAGATAGACAAACTCAGATTGCATGCACATTACTTTACATGGCTAGTCTTTATGTTTTCACCACTTTATGAGATTGTGAAAGTATAACGATGTTAAGAAATACTTACAATTAATGAGCTCAAGATTTTGATCTCTTAAGTAACATAACCAAATTAATATAAAGCAGTTTTCTTTGTAAGTCGAATTGATGATCATGCATTTTATTTTTTATTCATTACCTAACTTAGAAAGCCATTTGCGTTGCACAAGTTAGAAGACCATGTGACTTGTGTAGATTTTTTATATATTTCTTATTGTTCAGACATAAATATGTTTTTTGTGTGTGTTATTCCAAACACAATACAAATGTTGAAACTTATTTTCACTGTCATACGATATGCTTATACTCTTGAAAAACAAAACAAAAAATGAGCTTTAATATAATCTGAGGTTTTTGATACAAGAGAATTATTGTATACCAAGACAGTGAGTGTCAGGTGCATTTATAAAATAAAAAAAAACTCAAGGAAGGAGCAGCATTGATATCAGCACAGATGCTTTGTTAATGTTGCTATTTATAATCCTTACAAGCATATTGTTAGAAATCTTTTTAAACAGTACAATATTACAAAGAAAATCAAGTAATAAACATTATTAACATTGTTAAAATACCTAGGAAGGGTGTTTTTTTATCAAGTCTACAGCATTTTAGTCTGGAATCATGCTTATCATTCAATTACATGATAATTACAATTTTCTTCTAAACACACAGATTGATATAAATGCAGGTGCTATACTAATGACATGAATGATTTACTTGCAGATTTTAAGCTTTTAAGCTTTAGCTACTTTTTAACTATATTTTACCTGCTAAATTTTTTAAATGAACTTGTCCTGCCCCTAATTTTGGAACTGTCAATTATCAATTTTGGGGATATCATTATTAAGATCTCATGTTTAGTCAGCTAACAGAATAGAGATCCTGGTCAGACTGCATGGACATTCAGGCTGGCCCGGCTCTATACTGTTGGCAAAGCTACTCCTTTGAACTGTGTATTCTCTATTCCAAATTAAAAGCAAGACAAATTCATTGTACAAATTCAGCAGTTAATGTGTTAATTGGTAATTAATTGAGACATATTTTTAAGAATCTTAATTATAAGTTGCAGAAAATCTCTTTAACGAAATCAGAGTTTTAACAAGCTGTATGAAAGCACTGATAGCACTGACAGATTCAATGCTTTATTTATATAATACTTAGACTGAAAGTTATATTAAATACAACAGATCCAATATTCATAAATACAACAACATATATGAGCATCCACGCAGTCTGATCAAGATCCATGCTGTTCGCTTACAAACAGTATAACAAGTAGAGAAACTGATAGCGAACAGCATGGATCCTGATCAGACTGTGCGGATGCACAGGCTGGTCTGGATCCATGCTGGTCGCAAACCCATTATGTTGGTTTTGTCATGGCGCAGCTCATATAATATTTACATCTGTTACAATCACAGGTCTCAGAAAGTGACTGAAAAGTTTGTTTACAAAAGTTTACTTTTTTAGCATTTAAATGACTAAATACTGTAATGTCTTTGTTTTACAGTAATATATTCTTATTGTAAAAAGATCAAAGATAAATTTTACAATATTTATATGATACAGATGGTATTAAGTATAGAATAAAAATATTTGGTTGAAGAATATTATTAATATAATAAAGTCAATCGGATGGAACATTTTTATCTTGCTGCTTTTCTTACAGTTGTTTTACTTTTGATAAAAATATTGTTGTTATAATTTTTGTTCATATTTTTTCTGTTACCTAGGTGATGAAGATGAGGAAGAAACTGAGGAGAAACTACCTTCATGTTCAGACTATGTGATGCACTTCTTGACTCTGTTCTGGAAGGTTTTGTTTGCTTTAATTCCACCTACTGGTATGATAATCTTATTCTTTCATATGTTTGATATGTTTGCTTATGTTTATATTTGTAAAAAAAAAACTTAACAGTGATAGCAATTGGAGTCTGTTGCATTACCAAAGAGTTCCATACCATTTTTGGTTAAGGAAACTAAGACTTAAATAAGGAAAACCAAGACTTTAAGTTTAAGGCAGCCATAAAAAAGGAAACCAAGACTTTAAGTTTTAGGCAGCCATAAATAAGGAAACCAAGACTTTATGTTTGAGGATGCCATAAATAAGGAAACTAAGACTTTAAGTTTGAGGCAGCCGTAAATGAAGAAACCAAGACCTTAAGTTTTAAGCAGCCATAAATGAAGAAACCAAGACTTTAAGTTTTAAGAAGCCATAAATAAGGTAACCAAGACTTTAAGTTTTAGTCAGCCATAAATAAGGAAACCAAGACTTTAAGTTTTAGGCAGCCATAAATAAGGAAAACCAAGGCTTTAAGTTTTATGGCAGCCATAAATAAGGAAACCAAGACTTTAAGATTTATGCAGCCATAAATAAGGAAACCAAGATTTAAGTTTTAAGCAGCCATAAACAAAGAAACCAATGCTTTAAGTTTTATGGCAGCCATAAATAAGGAAACCAAGACTTTAAGTTTTAGGCAGCCATAAATAAGGAAACCAAGACTTTAAGTTTTAGGCAGCCATAAATAAGGAAACCAAGACTTAAAGTTTTAGGCAGCCATAAATAAGTTTTAGGCAGCCATAAATAAGGAAACCAAGACTTTATGTTTTATGGCAGCCATAAATAAGGAAACCAAGACTTAAAGTTTAAGGCAGCCATAAATTAGGAAACCAAGACTTAAAGTTTTATGGCAGCCATAAATAAGGAAACCAAGGCTTTAAGTTTTAGGCAGCCATAATTAAGGAAACCAAGACTTTAAGCAAAGATTTGATTTTAGACAGCCATTAACATGCATGTTGTGTCCTAAGGCTTTAAACATGAAAAAAACTTACCATCTTATTAAATAATCTGCAAATCTCAAATGACTGGCAAAATACAATATATCATAATGTTCTGACATGAAATAATAAAATGAAAGAGTGCAGGTAGAAAAAATGTTTAGATAAGAATCTTAACTTAAGATTGTGAAATATCCTGTAAGATGTTAACATTGAAAAAAGTAATGCTTACAGATTCAGTTGTGATCTTAGATGTTTAACAACATGTTTGTTCATTTCAGATTACTGGGGTGGTTGGGCGTGTTTCTGTTTTTCCATAGCAATGATTGGAGTTTTAACAGCTTTTATTGGTGATCTGGCTTCAAGCTTTGGGTGCACTATAGGACTTAAGGATTCTATTACTGCCATTTCATTTGTTGCTCTAGGAACAAGTGTGCCAGGTAAGTTTGTAATCATTATATATGTATATTTATAGTTAACTCATTTTATTCTCTTTTGTCTTGGCTGTGTGGATAAGGCCCCTAATGGCTGCAGATTCAAATGTCTTAAGGGAATTTGGCTGCAGATTCAAATGTCACAAGTGAATTTGGCTGCAGATTCAAGTGTCACAAGGGAATTTGCTGCAGATTCAAATGTCACAAGGGAATTTGGCTGCAGATTCAAATGTCCCAAGGGAATTTGGCTGCAGATTTAAATGTCACAAGGGAATTGGAATTCTCTCATGTGAGGAAGTTATAGCATAGGGAAGGTTGGTGGTTTAATTCAGATGCTTGCTCCTGACTGATATCATTTAAGATTTTCCACCACCAGTAAAGCTGGAAAGTCGCTGTATCCATTACAGTGTTGGTGTCTCTTAAAACCAGTGGGGAAAACACAAGCACTGATAATGCACTAGTCAGTGGTACTTGTTCCTACCCATAGAATTTATGGGGAACAACAAAAAATTTGGCTGTTTTTTAATGTCTCTGTACTGACTTGGCATTGGTATTGTTTTCCAACAAATTTAAAGGAGTAGAATTCCAATCCCCAGTTAGGGAGCATTAAGCAGAGATTTAGACCTTATGGTATATTTCAACAATACTTCAGAGGAATGCTCTTTGGGTTGTTGATGCAAAGGATAATGGTCATGAGCAAAGACAAAAATAGATCTTAAAACTCATCAGGATGTCTTATAAGATAAGCAAAGAACTTAATTAAAACTAATTTAGCACTTTTAATACAAATTTCTGCAAGGCAGATACCAAAACTGTCTCTCTCTTAAAAAACACAGGTTTTATTGATGCTTTGTGAAATGTCATTGTACTTTATTAACCGTAACGTTAAAAACTGAAACAAACAGTATTAACATTCCACATATAGTTTGGCAGTGTCTCCGTTTTTTTGTGTCTTTCAAAATTAACTTTAAATTCTTTTTTACTGATCATTACTGTAGAAGCAATCAGATCAGTTGCATTAAGGATTGCATTTTGTTTTTGATATGTATAATATGTATACATATAGTATTTTTAAGTACAAACATTCTGTTCAATCCCCTCTATGGATGATACAAATCTCAAAGCTTGGGGAAACACTGAATAATCCCAAGCTGAAGGTTGAGTTTACATCGACTCTATTAGCACTGTACCACCAGTGTAAAGTTGGGTATATTAGATTTTGCAGGTTTGACTAGATTCTGTATTGACGCTCAAATTTAGAATTTTGATATTGAAATCTTAAAGAATTGAAATCTAAAAGAATACAATGGAAAGTTCTAAATTCAAATCAGAATTCTTTTAGCTTCAGCCTTGGTAAAGGTTGATATAATTTGATGTTGATGTGCACATATTTATTTGTATTACAGATACATTTGCCAGTAAAGTTGCAGCTGTAAATGATCGTTATGCTGACTCATCTATCGGCAATGTAACAGGAAGTAATGCTGTGAATGTTTTCCTTGGTATCGGCATCGCATGGACAATTGCATCTGTATACCATGCAGCTATAGGCGAAAAATTCGAAGTAGACCCAGGAACCTTGGCTTTCTCAGTGACTCTCTTTGTAATAGAGGCTGTAGTCTGTATTACTATACTTATGCTCAGAAGAGTTAAAGCAGTTGGTGGCGAACTTGGGGGGCCGAAAAAATACAGAGTTCCAACCACAGTCTTCTTGGTATTTTTATGGGTGTTTTATATTGTGATGTCATCAATGGTTGCATACTGCTATGTGCCAGGATTCTAATCTGGTTATATAATAGGATAATATATAATCAGCAAAGGAAGCAGGGGTATGATATTAAAAAAAAAGACAAATGTTACATTGCTGAGAAGTTGAGGAGCCTTTGGCACTGAGTGTAACACATAAAAAAGTCTCCTGCACCTGACTTGTGAAGATCACTCAAGGGAGACTACTGGTTTGTGTTAAGTGAACCCAAGTTTGATTCCTGTGTGACCGAGGCAGAGTCCTGCCACTGTTGATGAAGACACACTGAAATATTACCCTTTGCCGAGAAATGTTTTATTTTAACAATGAAATCTTTGAAGACTTTATTCACATTTTGTCAAAGAAACACATGTTAAGGCACCATGTTCTCCAAATGATATTAAAGTTTGACAATTTGAATGATAAAAATCAAATCTTTTCATATAATTGATTAAGTTATTCACATACAGGCTCAACCGTTTCTTAATCATCACAAATGTCCTACAATTGAAATTGAATTTGTTTAGATTTAAATTTGATTATTCAGTTTTTCATTATTAAACTTTAGGAATAGGGTTTTAGACTGTGCACAATTTCGGTTATTTATGTAGAATGTAAGCATTCTCTACTATTACATAAAGCATTGCTCTGCTTGAAATGTCATTCCCTATATCGTACATGTTTAAGAGAAATTAATATATGAATGACTTCTCTATGGCATGTAATTTAATTTATATCTTTTGGGAAATGGCCTGTTTTACTTTACCTTCTTTTTATCAGAACATTTTATTAATTAAATTCACTTAAGATTTTGGTAAGTTAGAATTATTTAATGACACTTATAATGGAGTGTATGATACCAGATACCGCTGCTTCATAAACTAACATTCGTCCATACTAATCCGTCGCCTACTTTACTTTTTTAATTAGACTGTCCATTAGTTTACTTACTCCATTTTTCTTAGCCATTAGAGAAAATTAATGTTATCATTATTGTCTTTGTGGGATTTTTTTTAATTATTATCATTATTTAATTGTAAATTTTTTTTATCATTCTGAATTATTGCAATGAAAGTCAAAAGTTAATCAAACAATAATGATCAATTATACTGACTTTGGTTGCACTTTCATATCTTCATTCTTGAAGCAGATATTTAAAAAAAAAACAAAAAAAAACAGACACCATAATCCCTATATATGTTGCCAATGTCTAAAGAATATTTCAAAGTGTCAACAAAATAGGTTTGTTCATTGAATAAATACAATTCTATAGTTGGTACAATAGCAGACTTGTAGTTGTCAATTTAATATGACTACCGTACACTGTTCATTTCAAAATCATACTTTTTTTCTTGCTAGTGTATCCATTACAAGTACAACACTGACTCATTATTTTATGTGGCTAAAACAAGAAAATAGCATTTAATACAAGAGTTCAGATAAAGAAATTGATATTAAATGCAGGGTATGGTCTTAACTTTTGTATTACATTTTTTGTGTTTTTGCAACATTATTTAAAGTAGTTAACGAAATTGTAGTGGTGTACTGATTTTGGAAAGAATTCAGGTTATTATTGCAAATACATTTTATGTCTACCTCAAAACAATCTTTTTTGCGCCCCAAAAAGAACCATATTCATTTTATTCTGCGATGTTTTTTCTTTTCTCTTTTTTGTGTCCAGTTTGATTGTATACGTTCACCAAAAAGTAAAAATACTGTGTAATGCTATAAATACATAACCTGAAAATTTTTAGACAGCCGCATTGCTTAACTGTATTACATGCACCCTTGATTTCATTTACTCTTATTTTTGTAAATTCAAGTAATCCTGGAAATAGAGTAGTTTGTACATGTGACAAAAGAAAACCATTTTGTTAATATTAAAAATGCTCCTTTTAAATATATTGAAAAGGGATATAAAAAAAAACATATTGTAAATTATGCAACTGATGTGATTTTTGCTTTTGTAAGACTCGGAGGAGTTTTAATTATATGATTTTATAAAGAATCTTTGAAAACGTTTTATAGCTATAGTATTGATTATCGTTGTTTTTCTGTGAAGTTTACTGAGGAAAATTCGAAAAAAAAAATTTGTTTTATTTCGTATTGTATTAGTATTGGTTGTTACCAAAAACAAATATATGTTGTAATTTATTTTTTTTAATTTTGTTGCCAAAGCTTTAAAATAGTTGAAGTTTTTAACCTTTGTTTGATAGCTTTATAGCTTTCCCTGAGTATTAAAATGAGTACTTTAAGTGCTTTGATACTGCACTAAAACCTTACAAAGAATTAGATGTAATAAGCCAGATACCCCAAGAAAGAACTTAAAATTTTTGCATTACATTACAATTTGACTGGTGCAGCCTTTGCTGGCCAATTTCCAAACCCTTTCACAAGGAAAGCTTTTGTGCACATAGGAGCAGTCTGATCAGGACCAGACTCTAAATTGATATCAACTCAATAGTTGTATTCTGATACAGAATCTTTTAGAGAAATAGGCCATTTTGAAATCTAAACAAGGCACTTTATTACCTAGTTACTTTGAAAGGGTAACAACATGTTGTACAAAACTGATAATCAGAACTGGCAGCATTTATAGCTTCAAGTAATATACTTTTTATCTGCAGCATTTTTTATTATATTCATTGTTTATTTCGTTTTTATCCTTTTTTTGTGTCTAATTTATTTTTAACCTAAAACCTGTTGTTCATATCTAAATATAAAAACTAAACTGTATGTGTATTCATGTTTCCATGAACTCATTATGAATGTTACAATATATATTTAAATTATTTATTACATGTCTCTTGTTACCAGTTGGTGTTTTTTTTGTTGAATTTCACTTGTTACTCTTATCAATATGTAATATAGAGAGGTTTTTTTTTGTTATCGAATGTTCTCTCAATGGGTGTTCCTTTTTAGCAACTATTTATTTACGCAATATGTTTAAATGAGTTAAAACATGTTTTGAAAAAAAAAATCTTTAAAACAATCAAGTGTTTACTCAAGGGCAATTGGGATAAGTTGCAATTTTCTAAAAGTCACGGCAAATTAGGAGAGAAAAGTTCTTCAAAACCTACAGGATTTTATTTTGTAAAGGGCTGTCATGCTTTCAGTTTTGTTGAGCGTGTTACTGATACCAAAGTTATGACAATTTGTACATTCTTTAATATGTAATGTCTGGTTGCAATTTTAGAAGTTTGGTTTTTGACATGAACATCAGAGGTTTGATGCGAACTCAATTGTGTCAAATTTAAAATGAAGGTGCAAGTGTTTTGCAGTAAACACTTGATATAAGAGAAATAAAGTGTATAATAGAAGTTCGTAATGTTATTTTAAGAACTTGTATTGATTTGCTGTGATAATGTATTTATTACTTGAAACTGATGGTGTCACATTTATATGAACTGTACAGCTCTTGTTCAACTCTGAACGTTGTCTCTGAGAGCAATTCATTTCGTATAACAAAATGGGATACAAATAATTCTATCTGGTTTGTTTGTGGAAAATTGTCACAAATGTTTTTGTTAGATAAGTGAGGATAGATGGAATATAAAAAGGTTATTTTCTTGTTATTTGAACGTTGCATTATCTAGTTGATTAATTGTCTTGTAAAATGCTGTTATTTCGTCTAGACCATCTACCTAGTTTACAAAAATAACATTGGCAAAGTAGCTAGAGAAGATCTTTAGCTAACGTTTATTCCTGTATAATTTTAGAAGCAATTTAGAAGTGTTTGTTCAAGGTTAGGTGAAATAAAAAACTTACACATGTTTGATATATTTCTTACTGTTTGTTGCGATGTGGTGGTAGGTCAAGGGAAGTGTTTTTGTTTGTTAACCAATTTTGCAATGAGAACATTGAGCTTCTTAGAGGAATAGAAAATCATGTTAAACTATTTGTGATATACATCTAGCAGTCTTAAGTATGTAGTATTGAATTGTTCTTTCTGGCATTATTAATATTGAAGGCATGTATATTGATGAACTATGCATAATATCCGGCTGTAAAACCAGTTACATTCTTGAATTAGTGAATAGATAGTTATTATATACAAGAGATTCTGGTTTTATAGTTTGATGAAATAATTGTATAGTATTTGTTCCCCCATTCAATATTTTGTTACTTTTAGAGAAAATTGATATTAATTGAAACATCACTAATTTGGGTTTTATTTTAACTTAAGATTTCAGTTAAACAAAACGTCATAATTTGAAGGCGCCAGTATTCTATCATTTTATCTACATCTTCATTTATTTCCCCCTTGTCAAATTGATTTTTCTTTTCAGCCATATTTGCTTCTACAGATGAGCTTACTCTTATTTTGAAACTGTTTGGTGCACAGTAATGGATAAAGAATATAATATATACATGCCATGAATATGGTTTGGCGTTTTTCATATTACAGAAATAATATTTCATTGTCATGATTTCCATGGTTTGCAGCATTCCCCTATATTTGTATATTTTGATAGATCATACTAGTTTTAAGGGTTCCTTTTTTGTCCCTAGCGGTGTGTAGCTGTGGAAATTATTATGTCATAAATGTACAAAAACATGGTCTTTGAGCTAGTTCATGTGAAATGGTCCTGTGTGAACTGTCTGAAACTGATTGCAACATAATAAAATATATTTTCATTTTAATGGCTCCGTGCTCATAAAAGGTTGTGCTTCAATGTATTGTATGGTGAAGTAAGGGACGTTAAACTCATACAAAATGAAAATAAGGTAGATGAAAAGACATTAGTACTATTAACACACGACCATTTAACAGAACTGGCTAACACAGTCTCTGAGAAGAAACATATATCAGCTTGCATACAGTAAAAAGGTATCGAATCATTCTATTCATATTCTATTCATTTAATAAGGACGTATTTTCTCTGTTGATGCATATTAATGTATGATCATATGTGTGACAAAAAATTTAATCCTCTTGCATTATATTGTCATTACCATGCTATGCATTAATATTTGATTCATTCTCTAGCTTTCATAAACTTTTTGTCTTCTAATATTTGCTCTTCTTGTATTTTAAGCAATAATCACATATTTTCATAGACACTTCCTTTCTTAAAAAAGTCTGTTTTTGTCTCCAGCCAGCTATTGATTTTACAATCTGTTTGCATAAAATGGCTAAGATAAAGGTCCATCTTAAATTTCCAAATAAATTAAACCCAGTTTCATACGGACTGTGGGACTTGCAGATATTTTGTTACTTGTCAGAGACTAAAAATTTATCCCAAAAATATAGATCCATATTTTATAAATCCTGAAAATTATTTGCTCAGTGATGTTGTTTGGAAGATGTGGTTGTTGTTTTTATGGTTCTGTTATCAATTTTTACTTCTTATATTTCTCACTATAATATGTTTACTTTTCCTTCTATGATACCCGGAAAGACAATTGCTGTATGATTGTTAAATGATCTTTGTACTGTTAAACTTGTTAATTGAAAGAAGTGGATTGATTTCTAATGATAGAATGAAAGATAGTTTGTTGCATTGTGTGTTTGTTAATGATTAAGAAATGAAAACAGGATAATTCTAAACCAATGATATTACATTAACCAAGGTTGCTTCTATTCTGTTCTTGATGTTTTGATATATTTAACCATAACTACATGTTTCTTTCATGCACGGATTATTAGAAGACTGTTACAGTATGTCTTGGTGTTCCGATGACAAACCAGTTAAGCTTCATTAATAATTGATTTAAACTTTTACAACAATTATCGCCATGAGAGTTGTAAAGGAATTCATACCATACAATTCTGAGAGAACTATTTTAAAGTTTGTTCGACAGATCACTATCATCCTATAAACTGTCAATTACAAAGTTTTGAGTTGAGTAATACAGTGGAGATATATCGGTGTTCAATCTTCACACGAATCTCTGGTTTGAATATTGGATTAACACCAAGGTTCATGCAAACAGTTCTTCATTAACAGTTGTGCATAAAGAGTATATATTTTCAAAAGAAGTGTTAAATTAAAACCCTCTGTACATAACGACAATGTTCTGATGTGAGTTAGGATAGAATGAGTCTTGTTTGAATGAGTTTTCAAGTCCACACCATGATACGGTGTGCTCCAATTTGGAAGAGTGTTCAGAGCCACACCAAGGTTTTGTATTGTTTTTGTCCCTTGAAATAAATTTTGATTGAACAAAAATTTTGCTTTGTTTTGATTTTATTTTTATGTTGTTTATAGATATTTCCTTAAAAACTTGTACTTATAATTGAAAAAGTTATTTTAGATGTGTGTGTGTTTTTCTCAGCTGTTGAGAAGAGAAAACTGAGAATTTGTAATGTGAAAATTTTTAAATTTGACAGTGGGACATTAGGCACTTACTTATCGGCCGTCTGGCTGGAAGGTGGTTATGTGAAACCAACAGCTGTGTGACGCGAAACTGAAACAAAAGAATTTGTAATGTGAAAAATTATGCATTTGACAGTGGCACATTAGGCACTTACTTATCGGCCGTCTGGCTGGAAGGTGGTTATATGAAACCAACAACTGTGTGACGCGAAACTGAAACAAAAGTTAAAAGATTCATATATTCGTAGACACGCCTCATATATTTTTTTATTGTATATGGGGCAGAAAAATAAAATACATCTGCATGAAATATGGACTTTAAATCCACTCTGTACATTGTACAAAAGACAATGCAGGTATACCGATACAAAGTTGTGAAACATAATATCCTCCAGCGCCCCCCGTCGAAGTTCTGAATGTGATGAAAAGGACGTCAAGTCGCTCAATCTGCGCGCTATCCAGCAGACGACTTACAGTTTCTCAAAGTAACGACCCGCATGCTCAATGCAGCACTTGTGACGATGAATCCATTGTTGTTTAACGACAGTGTACCGTTCTGCAGGATACCTCTTGGTGATGGGGTTTGTCACAGTCTATAGCTCCGTAAGATTCTCGAACTTGTATCATTTCATCTGAGATTTCATACTGGGGAAAACGCGAAAACTGGTGTGCTAAGTCGGGCGGGTAGGCAGGATGGCTCATCGTTCGGAATTCCAGGGTGTGTTCTGGCAGCGGGGAGGGGGGAAGCGTTGTCCTGATGTATGATAAAACATTCCAATGGTATTTCTGTTTTTTCCTGAGAGGGCAAACTCTAGGTCTTATAGCAATACCTTTTAAAACGATAATGATTTTGTAAAATTAACTTTGACACGTTCTTCTGGTATGTACACTGTAATAGAACAAAAAATAATGATGATAATAATCAATGGAATTAAACGTTCTATAACAGTTTAAAGTTTTGCGCCTACGATATTATCATTACCGTGATGCCTGTATCATATTTTGTTATAAATATCACAGTGTTTTAAGTAAGAATAAAATGTTTTAATAATGTTATTCCGCATTCCTGGTCTGCCCAACTGGTAGCAGATTGCAGAGTAGCATGCCGCGACAGTCAGCAAACATCTGAAACATCTGCTTGCACACTTGCTTTCTTTTGGTGGTTGGGATGTCGACTGCCTTCATCGCCGAAGAAAACACCGGGACCCCATCACACGTCGGTCAATCTCGTAATCTTAAAGAATCTGCGGGACCCCCTTCCCCCGCGAATGTACATTATATTGCGAGACATTATTTCAGAACCCTACATTTTTCACAAAACCTGCACATTTGAATGTTGAATTGGATTATAAGATGCCAATTTAGATTTATCAAAACTAAAATAAAGTTTATTCTAGTCTTCTTTGACGATGCGATGAACTATGACATAAACAAAAGCTTCTATACATCCTTTCGGATGGCCAAGCCCAAAACTTTTATACAGAAAAAGGTGGCCCGATCCTTGTACAAAGTTCTTACAAGTCAAATTATAAAGTGTCTTGACTCACATTTACAATACTTCAATCAACCCTTTTTCCTGCAAACGAAAGTGATTAGCCTAGAGCAAGGTCAGTCAGCACATCTGTGATCAAGCTTTTCTTCTTGGATGTGGAATTGGACATACCAGAGTTAAACATTATTACCTTTTAACAAGAGACCATGGTCCATTTTGCATTGCTTGCAATTAATAATTTACTGTCAAACATTTTCTTTCAGACCTCTACCGAATCAATTCACTTAGCCTTAGTTCCATTCAAAACCCCGAACGATACACTATAAGTATTCTAAAATTTAACTAACTCATTTGTTCCAACTCACTTTAGACCTACATGTACTTATTATAGTGTTCGATGCGGTAAAACCAGTAACGTACCAATGTCTTGTTTAATCCAAACAAACAAAACATCTTTATGTGTAATCGGACAGACTACATTATTGGAAGAAATTGAAGAGAAAGTAAATTGCCAAATGTATTACCACTTAAGTTCATATAGCCTTGTGGAATATCCACTGTCGTAATATTCATTCGTTTCACTCTCGGCCATCCTGTACCTGAAAAACTGTTTTCATCAATGAGAATTTCTTTTGGGTGTATATTAGTGAGTTCAACATCTTCAACTGCTAAATTCTTAGGTATGATATTGTTACATAACAAGGTTGTTTCACTTGGACTTTTGCAATTCTGTTCCAATGCAAACATATAAACGAAATATGTTTGAAAGCAGATTTGAAAAAGCACATACTTCAATGAATTCAACATAGATTTATACAACATTTTGTTTAAGTTTATTCCTTCGTGTCACAAATATTACTAACTTGCATGATAATCACCAAAGCATCAATTAATTTATGCGACGTATGAATATTTTAGTTGCTCTTTTCAAAACATAGTTGAACCATATTTATTAAAGATATTGTCGTCTTCATCCTCCTCCTCCTAAAGTTATTTTTTTCCTTAACGATTTTGGTATGAATGTCATTGTAGTTATCACTTAAAAATTTTAAAGTGAAAAAACGATCGCGCAGAGTCGAAAGAAGAGTAGCCTAATTTCGAAAATACTTTTTTTAATGATTTTTTTCCATTTACACGCGTGTGCACGTTTCATTTTTATACTTTTAACAGAAACTTTTAACAGAAAGGCATTATTTATTTATTTATTTATTTATTATTTTGTAAAATTGTTTTCACTTAATCAATGCCGTTCATGAATATACTCTATTTATGTCTTATACGTTTTCATTTCTTTCAAACGTCTACAGTTATAATCACGTTTCATACATAACGTTAGACATACAGATTACACTTGATTTCAAACACGTGTAAGTATATGTACGTGGAATATCTGTGTGTGTATATAAAACGTGTATGCTAAATTATCAGAAACAAAGTTATAATCTGACATCAAAGAGAGTAGGTATAATGAATTTGGATAATGCCATGAAAACACAAGGATAATGACAAACGCAATCTCAGTTACTATTTATAGTATATCGTTTTTTTTTTTTGTTTTGTTTGATTTTACGGCGCACCAATACAATTTAGGTCATAGGGCGATGATTTTGGCTAACCTTGGGTGTTTACAAACCACTAGGGGTCAAAACCACATTTCCTGCCGGATCAAAGAGGTGCATAGTCTTCAATCATTCGAACCAATTAAATCACCTCTTACGATCACGCAGGGATAAACGGTGGCTGCAATTCTGATGCCCCATTCCTAAAAGGCAACCCCTTAGCCACAAAGGGGTGGGGGCACACAATACAGCCACATCATTGTTATGATGTTTCAAATCGTGTCCAATGTGCAGCAGAGAATTTTCATCTTCTACCCATTTTTTTGTACAAAAGAATTCAGTATAGGGCAACAATACATAACAGTGAGCACAATGCAAAGAAAATAAATAATGATAAAATATAAAAATATGTCACATGGCAAGTCAACCGCAAACAATAGAAGGAGCATTTATAATAGGAAATAATGTGACTGCAAGGTGACCAGAAAATACTCCCAAAACAATTTTAATGTTTGCAAAATTGCCATGTTAATGACATGTATAATGCAAATACATACTTATGCATGTGTTCGTGTTCTTGTTATTATGTTATTTCTAGACCAAATGGGTGTAGACGAATAAAATATCACCTACGAAATAATTTTTTACACAATATATGTAATCAAAAGCATGCTATTATATTGAGCAAATTTAAATATTATTATTATTATTATTATAATTATCATTATTATTATTATTATTATTATTATTATTATTATTATTATTATTATTAATATTGTGTGTCGGTCATTATTGTAGAGTGACGTTAAATTGGATTGGAAGTTACATAATAACAATATCAATGGTTAATATATAACATTATTTTAAGTATGTAATAAAGTAAGCTCTTTGAACAGCTCAAATTCAAATAAAAAAAATATATGCCAAACATTTGAAACTTTAATCTCACATTAGTTGAATTCCTTTAATGCTAAGCGGTTAAAACGTATGAAAATGAAAAGTCCCCTTACAACTTAAATTTTATCTTTATATAATTTCTTCCTTGTCCTCAAATTAAAATGATAAATTGAAAGTTTCTATTGACATTCTTAGATTGTGTATTTGTTGTTACGGGTAAAAACATGAAATAAAAATTGAAAAGGGAAAGAAACAGACAATTTGGTAACCTCGGGCTTGTCCAAGTAAAACGCCGGGGACTGGTTAATATGCTATAACGGAAGATAAACGAGTGTTGTGGAAACAATTAAAAAATTCGAAAAATTAAAATTATCAGCCAATCAAACCCAATGGCATTATTTTCATTCCTGAAAGCATAAATTGTATATTCCTAAAAAAATACCATACGTATTCAACTAAAAGACACCATTTATGGTCGGTGTTTTATGACAATTTTCTTCAAGTAAATTACTGTTTTTCATGTCTGCGCATGCGCAGTAAGTAAGCCTTTCGTTCCTCATAGTCTTGCATTAAATTCACACCATGTCTGCACAAGAATAATGGTTTTCAGCTCTTCCGACTGAATTACCCGTTCTCACAGTGACATAGAGAATAGTGGGTAAAGGGTACGGTGACATGATCATGGCTTAAACATATAAAACACCGGCATTTGTATTGGACCTTTAAGCAGAGAAAGAAATAAAGCCCCGTCATTTCTATTCAATGCTAGGTAAATGACAAACAGTATCACAACAAAATTTAATGTTTCTTGTGGTGTAGGGGCTGGTAAAACATCTTGAAGTCGTTTGTTTTAAAGGTTGCGCCCACATTGTTCTTGAATAATTACAAATTACAAATTACAAATGTTTTCATCAAAATTCGAAATATCTGTAACCAAAGCTTTGTCTTCCCTTTTGTCCGATACCTTTGTTAGGCACATGAAACTATTTCTTATCCTCAATTCTTTAGAAGGGGTTCAAAATCTTAAGCTTAGTGAAGATGTTTTCATTTTCTCTTTATATATTCCCTGTCAAAATTTTCACCTTTTCAGCTAACTGCTAAAATGATTCTTCCAGTCCCCGATGATAACCTGAAAGGGAAAATATACGATGAATATTTTAGGAAACTTGTTGTCATCAATTATATATTATATATTATATATTTGAACTACATATCAAGGAGATAGTTTCGGTATTACACATACTAGTATATGGTCAAAACCACGAATTGGATACTTTCTATGACTAAAAATTATTCATAAAGCGTTCAGCAGATAAGATTTCAATAACTTCCGATTGGGGTATTTTGATTGGTTAATTGAAATTATTATTTACTTTTTGAATACTAATAAATTTGTATGTGTTATTTGTTTAGAGTGGATTGATCTAGAATAGAAGGTCTGTATTACAATAAATTATTACGTTGATGGTATTAGTGTCATACATAAACACAAACCACGAAAATATTATACTAGTACATGGATGCTGTTGGGCAAGTGTCGGATACATGATCTGTTATTACATTACGTAATTTATATAGCTGATAATAAATTCATGTTGAACAAAATATTATTATTTATCATAAAAATGAAAATAATAAAACAACTTTATTAACATTTTTTCTTTCAAGCAATATTTCTTAACAATATCAAAATGTGATATTTCTATAGTTTTTATCAAAATTTGAAACATTTATGGAAATTGTGCCCATTACAGACTTTAAAATAAACATAAGCAAGATATCTAGAATACATAAATATCAGTTTATAATCAACAAAAGCAGCATGACTTGCAGAGGGTGACTACTGCAGGTTCGGTTTATGCTCATGAGAGGCAATTCAATATTCAACCTATGTCATATCCTCTAACACCGGCTAATGCAGTATTCAATTTTTGACGCACTTAAGTATTAGTCTGAGAATAACAAATCCTGAAGTGACAGAAAAATGTAACAACACTGGGATAAAGCCCGTGGCAAACTTTATACATGTGCTACCACAGCACTTGATACCTGCAGATCTGAGATTAAACATCTGGAAAACGGGAGGTATCTTGTGAACGACGAAAACAAATTCTGCAGGTGAAAAATGCAGAGTCGATTTGATTGAGTCTGTTCTTTAGGAGCAACATCTTTTACGCCCCCTAGCACCGGCTTTAACAGAATTACAATACTGACACTGAAACAATAAAGATAACAAAAACATAATGTTGCAAACTTACCTTTACGGAAGAATGAGAAGTTATTTTTTACTCTGTCTCTAGGCATATCTGCCTTCTCTGATGCTAGGGATTTAAAAGAGCATTTCTCGTTTATTGCACTAACAAGTTCGTCGTCAGCATCAACACCCAAGAAAGTCGCCAACCTTTTTATTTCTGCAACACCATTCTTTTTTAACGAAAGGAGAAAAAGCAAATTAGATAATTGCTTATTATGGTCATTGACTGATTTTTTAAAATAAGGGGAGTTTTTGAATTATGTATTTCAAGCAGTGACTACTGAAAGTGAGCTTAATTGTTGGTTCTGGGATTAATCTAAAATTATATACAGTGATAGGAGTAAGTACTCCGAAAGAGCATCTTTGAAAAGATAATAAGCGATTGTTTCCGAGGATCTACAATATGTAAATATGCAAAATGAATAGGTGATTGAGGTCAAAACTTGCCAAAAGCTTTTGAATGTGTGCAGAAAAAAAAATATATACCAATGTCAAAACGGTTTTATATGATTCTAAAATGCTTCCAGCTATTCTTATAATAACTTTTGTCCGACCCGTTTGCATGCACATCAGCTGATGTACATTGTAATGGTGTTTAAGAAAATGATGTTAAATTGAGTTAATATAGCATGTACAATCATACAATTATATGTTAATTAACTAAAGCGTAAAAAAATATAATTTAGTTGTTATAATATAGTCTGAATGAAACGTATGGGAAAATGTATACATTCACTGACAATATTTGTTGAATCAAGAGACAATATATTTTGTACCTCTTTTATATCTTCAAAGTACACTAAATGAATTTTGTCTGGTTCTGCTAACATTGCCTTTTCAAGATCTAGTGTATACTCAAACCAACTTTGATACGGTACTGCAGAAAACAAAGACAACAAATAAATCTATTGAATCGAGAATTTCAGAAACGTTTATTCCTGATTTTTACATGTATTTTCTTACACTTAAAACGGGTATGTGTTTTTACAATATCCTTGTGTTTCACTTCGGTGTTTTTGAAACATGATTGTCATAAGACGTCTATAGGTGTAAAACTGGTGTCTTTATTTTCACATTTTATATGCTACAATTTAACATAGAAAACATAAGAAGATCTAAACTTTCGTCAGATTGTTGTTGTTTTCATAGTTATAAATCACAATATTTTCCAATATACTTACGTTTATTTTCTAGAAAGAGCGTAAGAAAGTCAGCAAATTTGCCATTATACTGAAACATTTTCATTCCTGTAATGTGATAATAGAGGGAGACTATCGCGTCTTTCGGATTTCTAGCGATCCATATAATCTTTGTGTTCTTCTCTTTCATCTGCCTCGGTAGCATCGCAAGTGGTAGATGACTGTTTAAAACTCTTGGACATGGTTGCTCGTCCACCTCGGCTTCAGTTCTAGCTTCTAACATGAGGCAAACTTTCATATTTGGACTTATCTCAGCTTTTCTATTCAGTAGCATTGAAAGTATTTCATAACCCCAATTAGTTCCTGAAACATTTTTATATACTGTATCAAAATACAAAAAGTAAGCTTTGACCCTATAAGTGACTTATTGTTTTTGTAATTTGGATATCAGTAGAAAAAATAACATAAGCGGTATGTCAGACACATGTACTATGATTTATTTCATGCAAATTGTTTTGCAAAATTAAGAAAAACATTTTACAATCGTCTGAAGATTAGTCAAAATCTCGTGCAATAAATTAGATTGTTGTAAGATTTGAGTTTATTTTTATTCATTTTTTTGTCAATACATGATAGGCAAATAAAATAATCTAAATAGATTGGACTTTTACTTATAAATACATTCTAAAGTAATTTTATACAGAGCTTCCTTGTACAAAGAGAATAGCGTTATGACTATTAGAATAATATTACAAGATATAAAGAAGCTTATCAACTATTATTAACTGATATAAAATAACACAAAATAAATTCATTACCATAGTTAAATGAAATAAGAAATGCTCCTGAGGACGAAAATAACGAAATAGGCCTAAAGATACCAACCATTGACGGAATTTTAAAAAAGTAAACAAGTGTATTGTTGAATTAGCAAATTAGCCAAGTATAGGCGATGACTTTATATTTTTTTTTTACTTTTTTCCGTTTGGTGGGTTTTACGTCGCACAAACACAGTATAGGTTATATGGCAGATTTTCAGTTTTACTGGTGGTTGATGACCACAGATGCCCGCGCATTATTTCAGGTACAAAAAGACAATTGGGTAGAACCACCGACGTTCCGTAAGTTAGCTAATAAGCTTCCTTAGATGAACCCACAGCGGTGAGGGGCAAGTGGTTTAATGTCAACGACTTTAATCACTCGGTCACGAACGCCCCTTTTAACACTTTGGTTCACAGCTTTAATTTATAGAAGACAATGGGTTTTTTTCTATGCTTTTTCACTGTGGATAAACCAATAGCTATTTTCCTGATTGTTTTCGCCAGAAAAAGTCAAACATGTATATATAAGCACACTAGAAGGCAAAATGATCGGAAGTAGCATGTTCTTGTAACCGGAAGACACATTTAATTTTATAGGCACGTACGTGACATGGTACATTAATTACGCTTATCCACTGTGTTTCTGTTAACAACCATTTTCATTTGAAATTGTCTCGTACAAAAGATAACAAAACGTGCCTCTGCCTATGATTTGAGTAAAGTTGTACCTGATTTTGGAAATGTAGCCAACATGACGTCATCGTCGCGTACTTTGATATTCGGAACATTTCTGACAATGGCGGCGGCTTCATCCGGAGGTTTCATGAACGTTGGCATTTGAAGGTCATCAACCATATACTGTTCACACATAGTACAGCCAGAGGCATCTACTACAGCAAATGTTTTGGTCGCCATCTCTTTTCACCTTTTTTTTAAATAAGATAAGCACGCTTATTCAAATTTGCCAACAGAGGTTGAGAGGTCATTAGTTAATGTGATGGACATTTCCAGAGAATGAAATTGCCAAAATGATGAAAAGAAAATTCAAGTACTTTTTACCTGATGTTTGTTTACACCTAATGATGCGCAAATTGCAAATCTTTTTCAACTGTAGCTACCTAAGTCTTCAGTGGAAATGATTACGAGTTTAACAGTGCTTATATTATAGTCCAAAAAGGTCCCAGATCAAATACAATATTTTAAGTATTTTAAAAACTTTTGAGAAAAAAATGTCTGAAAATGGGCAGAACTTGGGCATATTAATTTTATGAGTCTGCCTTTTAAAAATGTAAATATATCAGCGATATTTGACATAAGAAAAAAATTACTGACCTATAGATCTACGTTAACAAAACTGTGAACGATCCTTCCTCTGAAAGGAAATTATACACAAAAAAAAATTGAGGTTCAACACTGCAGTATATTTAAATTTTATACACGTACATGAGTATAACAATCCTGTGTAGTAATAATGTTTTGAACAATAAAATATTCATATCAGTATCACCCGTTATAAATGTCAGGTTTAATTGTTTAAACTTAACGTTAAACAGAGCGTTACATTTGAATTCGTTTGCTGTAAAGCCCGACTGTTATATAATACAATCTATATTGAACTGTAAATTACACAGTCAAACCCGTAAGCATTATAGCCAACCTGAGGTAAAGAGACAAACCATGGTCTAAATAGACAAGTTGTCTTTATTTAGGGGTTATTTTATTCCATTTATAAATAAAACATTATGAAAGGTTATCAAATAGTGGATTTTATTTGCAAGGTTATCTTTATTCAGAACTGGTCTATAAGACAGGTTTGACTGTACATACATCCTCTTCAGTAAGTTAGTCGGGCGCTTTTCCTTTTCTTTGTAACAGAAATCCAGTTAGGAGATAAGATACAGGTCTAATCACATAAAATGATCCACAAGGACTGCGTGTTGACCAGCCTGCATGAAGATAACAATTAAAAGAGCCGTGTCATGACAAAACCAACATAATGGGTTTGCGACCAGCATGGATCCAGACCAGCCTGCGCATCCGCGCAGTCTGATCAGGATCCATGCTAGCTGTTCGCGATCAGTTTCTCTACTTGTTATAGGGTTTGTAAGCGAACAGCATGGATCCTGATCAGAATGCGCGGATGCGCAAGCTGGTCTGGATCCATGCTGGTCGCAAACCCATTATGTTGGTTTTGTCATGACGCGGCTCAAATGTGAATAGTAGTAGAAATGTAACTGATTTTTCTCATAAAGACAAACCTCTTCTTATAACTGAGTGAAAACAGGGGCGGGGTCCCAAGAGCAATGAAAGCTGAACATCACATACTCGGTTTTATTGAGCCTGTTCGTGAAAGATAATGGGCAATGCAACATTTCAGCAACATAGATCAAATTTCATTTCGTCTGCTATAAGATTGTTTTGTATTATTTATATTTTACTTTTTTGCAAAAAAAAGACAATCGACAAATTTAAGTACCCATACAAGGTTTCCTTCCTGACAAAACCACGAAACTTCATGCCCACGAAATTAAATAAGAAACAATGATCCAAAAGGACTAGAAAGTTATCGCTACTCTGGCGCAAGAATTTAAAATCAAATTGTATTATATGACAATATTTTTAAATGTTTTTGTAAATCAGTATAGAAGAGAAAAGTTTGTTTTAGAAATAAATATTTTAGCTTAATTGATACTAATTAACTGGTAATTATTGCACATGCATATTTGATAGATATCTGTACACAACAGAGTTCCGTGTAAAGTAGATGCGTTAAAGGGACTCCGCTACGTGACGTGACGGTAGTGGAAATATTTTCCCGAGATTTGTGTACTCATTGATGAAGGTCTGGACCAATAACTTTGTGCAAATTTTTATGTCATTTCCTCATTTAGTTATTGCACATAATCACTTTATCATGTAAAATGACTAAAAAATAAAATGGGTTGCAACGCAATTCAATCAAATTCGAGTAAGTGTCGTAAATATAAAACTACTGTTTATATTTGTTTGCTGTCCTTTGCAGGATTTTTCATTTTTAATGCTTCACTTTATATGTTTCAGGTTTTCAAATTTTATGTGTTTTTTAATCCTTAGAGGAGTTCCTTTAAACAAATAGTGTTTCGATGGTACAATAAGGAAGGTAATATCTACCTAGTACCGGAAGTCAACAGACCAGGAAGTTGAAACTTTTAATTGATCTTCTCTTACAAACTTACAAATACATTTCGCCTTCTTAGCTCAATATCGGCTTACTACTAGTAATCCAGGGGTCGCTGCCTAGGCCGAACCTCTAGCGACGTAAAAAAATTTCCGTAGCATTTGAGTCCAATGTTTATTTGTCTTCTCATATGGGTTAAATAGTCGGCCACTTGCAAAGAAATTGATAATAAGTCATCATTAAAAGCCAGTTAGGTGGACATGCCTAAATGTGTTTTAAAGTCGGCCTTAAAAAACAACCAGACTTTTACCGGAACTCTTAAAGGGACACCACTGAGGTTTTTTGACATAGATAGATAGATAGACAGACAGACAGACAGACAGACAGACAGACAGATAGATAGAATTTATTGACGTATACATATTTGTACATAGTCATAATACAAAACACGTAATACATAAATCATAAGTCATGGCACGATCATATTGAAAACAAGCATTGTTAAACAAAATTATATATGGAGAATGTTCTTAAATCCATATTTAAACAATACAAAGTTGGCATTACTCTTATTAAACAGTTGCAAAAATGACTTTCATAAATTGAATATGTAGTGAATCAACGATTAAAAATACATGATAAATACCATACTGTCGCTTTTTAATGAGCAAAATTATCATGCGCATACTGGTAAAAATAGTTTTTAAATGGTAATATTAATAAGGTCATATCGACGCTTAGTAGCAAAGATGATGTATTTAGCAGGTCCAATTAATTCGGATTTATTTTTTGACTTCAAAAGCTGCAAAAATTTAAACATACTCGGCCTTCTGTAAAAATATGGCTTAATGAACTCCCTACGTAATGCAGTATAACAATTGCAAATGATAATAAAATGAAATTCATCCTCAATTTCTTGAAGATTACATAATTCATATTTTCTTTCAGAACGTGGATTTCTATTAGGACCATACCTCTCTGCCTCTATCTTTAATTTATGAGAAGATAATCTAATACGAGATAAATTTTGTCTGTAGGATTTAATGAATAAATTATCAAGATAAAATGCAGGTTCAAATTTGTCAATCAAATGTACATACAGATTAGACAAAAGTGGACTAGACTGAATGTCTGCATTTACCTTTTGTATAAAACAATCAACTAATCTACGTTTGAATATTTCAACAAACTCTTTTGGGCTGTATTGCAATGGGTTGAGCCATACATCTGTGAATCCATATTCATTTAAAATAGAATGAACCTTAGCTGCCCAGGAGTTATATCCATTATCATGAAGACTTATTGATGAATAAAAAGCAGACTTTAAGATATTATTATTTGAATGTAGAATATGTAACCAGAATCTTATTATTTGAACATATCTTTGAACATAAAGAGGATATCGGCCTAATTCCGAATAAACTGCTGCAGTACATGTACTGTGTTTAACGCCTAACAATGACTTGCAGAATTTCAAGTGAATCCTTTCTATATCCTTAGATTCTGTAAAACCCCATACTGCACAAGAATAATTTAATGTTGAGGAAACAAATGCATCAAAGAGTTGGAGTGAAATGGAAGGGGTCACATCATATTTGTTAATATTACGAAGTAAAACATTTTGCGCTTTCATAGCTTTTCCTATAGCATACTGATTATGAAGTTGAAAAGACCCCGTATAGTTAAAGACTACACCCAAATAGTTGAAGTTATCAACAGTCTCTAATAAAATATTATCGTATGACCATGATGGAACTGAAAATATTTTTTCCAGATAAATGTATTATTTGATGAAGGTTTAGACCACTTATCTTTGTGCAAAATTTCAGATCATTCGCGAACTTCGTTTTCCCAGAATAATTATTCAATATGTAAATAAATGACCCAAATTGAAAAGCGTTTAAACGCTTTTCACTCAAATCGTGCTAAGAAAAACATAAAAATACAATTTTCAATTTATTTCAAATATATATTTCTTAACTATATTTGCATATATTTCTGTTAAAAGTGCCCCAGCTCATTTATGTAAGAAATTCAAATGTTATGTTTTAAGAATTTTAAACCTCAGTGGAGTCCCTTTAAAGACGTATTAGGAAACGGCCTTTAAAGTTACGAATGTCAGCTTCAGCACACGGATCGGCTATGCAATCTTTTTCAGACCACACAGACCACAAGCAAAACTATACTTACCGGTTTATACGTCATTCATATTGTTAAAGAAATTCCGCCATGTTGCATATTACTGAAATATCTTGTAACAAATACCTTTCTACATGTATATGCAATCCAATATTTGATATTAAACAATTTAACATCCGTAAAAACTTTAAGCATTGTAAACTTACAAAAGACAAAATGTACGACTACATGTATACATGTAGTTTAACTTTCTTTTATCAATATGTACGATTACTCTCCGTATTTTTATTGTACCCAGCGTTATATAATGCCTACCTAAACACTTTACACAAATGCAAGTGCAGCCGACCTTAATTTTAAAATACTATCGTATGGAACGCAAACTTTGCATAATAGGTCTATTGAAAACAAGAGGTATCTTTAAAAAAGATACTCGGCCGAACGAAAACTGGTTTACTTTCATATTGTATATTAGAAAACATGGAAAAAGAATCATAAAAATTATGATTGACCTAGTATTGAATTTTACGTTTAATTTTTTGAAATATTAAAATCATGTGCATATTTCGGCAAATACAAAGTATTTTAAAAGAAACAAAATCTTATCCTTTAAAAGTAAAGAAGAAGTAAATAATTAAGAACGACAAACAAAATTTATTTCCTACTCAATTTTTTCGTCTCAGTTCATTTCTGTAATTCTTTTATTTCTATTATTGTGAATGTCGTTTTAGCTCAAAGAAAAACATTTAAGTTTGTTCCAACCTAAATTTTAATTGAAAGTTTATAAATGACCACGTTTTGTTGATAGAAATACCCGATTCAGCATATTTGCAATACCTTTGGAAATACGAAAGAAACATAAAAGCCGAAAAAATAACGGAACAGAGCCTTCTTATCTAAAATATTTTTGCAAACATTTATTATAAACAAACCATTCAATCATTAGTGGTTATATAACTTCTTCATTAATATGTAAAATACATGGAAATTATAAACATTGTATATAACTTGTGTGCTTTTCGCTATTTTCATGCGCATGAATAAACGGGAAAGTAGACAATGTTGAAAGTGGTGGTTTTCACTAATCAGTCCTACGCATAAACCCTTCCAGCCTGCTGAATCTCAGTAAGGGCTTATCAGCTAGTAAATCACTATTAACTGTATATCTCC